TGGCAGAGCCTGGAGACAGCAGAATAGACGAGAAAGAACTGGAGAAGATAACAAAATACAGAGACCTACAAATAGAAATAGAAAGACTGTGGCAAAAGCAAGCAAAAGTAGTACCAATAGTAATAGGCACCTTAGGTGCAATTCCAAAACAACTGGAGCACCACTTGAACACCATTGGCATTGACAAATTCGCTATTAGGCAATTGCAAAAGGCGGCCTTACTAGGAACTGCTTCCATCCTGCGACGATATCTGTAATACCATCAAACATCCACATCTGCCTATCCCAGGTCCTGGGAAAGGACTCGATAGGTAGACAAAATGCCAAATCCAGTCTGAACATCTGGCTGACTGTGCGATGATCCATAATAATAATAATAAAGTTGGAAGGGACCTTGGAGGTTATCTAGTCCAACCCCTTGCTCAGGCAGGAAACCCTATATCATTTCAGACAAATGGCTGTCCAGTCTCTTCCTAAAAACTTCCAGTGTTGGAGCATTCACCGCTTCTGGAGGCAGGTTGTTCCACTGGTTAATTGTTCTAACTGTCAGGAAGTTTCTCCTTAGTTCTAGGTTGCTTCTCTCCTTGATTATTTTCCATCCGTTGCTTTCTTGTTCTACCTTCAGGCGCTTTGGAGACTAGCTTGACTCCCTCTTCTTTGTGGCAGCCCCTGAGATATTGGAACACTGCTATCATGTCCCCCCTCGTCCTTCTCTTCATTAAACTAGACATACCCAATTCCAGTAGCCGTTCCTTATATGTTTTAGCCTCCAGTCCCCTAATCATCTTTGTTGATCTTCTCTGTACTCTTTCTAGAGTCTCAACATCTTTTTTACATTGTGGTGACTAAAACTGGATGCAGTATTCCAAGTGTGGCCTTACCAAGGCATTGTAAAGTGGTATTAATACTTCACATGATCTGATTCTATCCCTCTGTTAATGCAGCACTGTGTTGGCTTTTTTGGCAGCTGCAGCACACTGCTGGCTCATATTTAAGTGATTGTCTACTAGGACTCCGAGATCCCTCTAACAGTTACTACTATTGAGCAAGGTACCACCTATACTATACCTGTACATTTGGTAATTTGATATTAACATTTTATGTTTTAATTAAGATGTAACTATAAACTGCCCAGAGTTATCCTATGGTAAGATGGGCAGCCAATAAATTTGATAGCTAGACAGATAAATGTGTGCATGCACAGCTGCTTTGCTAGGCTGTGGGTTACAAAATATTTCTTTTGAAGGCTTTACACTGCTTTAATTTCACTCCCTTTTCTTCTTGAATAAATTTCCCCACTCTTGTTTCTGAATATATTAAGCATCATGGCACTTTAATTCTTTTTCTGTTAAAAACTGCATCTGAAATTTTAAAAAGCTGCAAAAATGGTGCAAAAGACTGCATGCAACCTACCCATTTCAGAGTTATGGATTAAGGACTGAGAAGACCCCCCATTCAAAGTTATGAAACTTACTGCCTGGCTGGGATCCATTTAGTATATCAGCCTATTTCATGAATTTGTTGTGAGAATAAATTAGAAGTAGTGAATGCTAGCTTGAGTTCTTTTACACAAATGTAGTAGAAAAAAAAGTCTAAGACCTATTTCCTTTCTCTCCTCTGTATTTCTTTTAAATATAAAGGTTAAGTGTGTAGAAAAAGAAGCTCTGAAATGCTTGCTTTGGAGGGAAAAAAAGGGAAAACTTACAAGACCTTTCTACTCATACTTTATCTCAAGAAATTTTGCTCATAGTATATTATAAAACCTAAAAAATAAAAGGGGCTATAGTACAAAAGTTGACAATCCTTTAACTACAATATGGATGACAAGAATTAAACCACAATTTTGGCTACCTATCACTTTGTAAAATGAAAAAATGGAAGAAAACCTTGCAATTTCTACAATCATTTCAAGTAGAATGTGATTACCAAACGTCTATATGATATGTTAAAGGGGATTGGTACAACTATTTGACATTCTAAGCTTTAAATACCAAGGCATTTAGTTAACACAGCGAAGTCAGTATTTTCATAATGCTACTTAATCAGCAATAAAGGAATGCTCCTGTGAGCCATCATCTTGGGTTAGCAGAAAAGTGGCATATGAAGTTATTATTAACTAACTGCCTACAGGGAGCTGCTTCTGTCTTTAATCAATGATCTCACTTCCTATCTACTTGCAAATTCTGACAGCCATAGAACTATTACACTCAATACGGTTGGCAGAGATATTACATTTATGCAAGGAGTTGATATCTTATTCCCATCTGGATCTTGAAGTAGAAAGGATTGTTACAGTGAGACATTTTCGCCTTTGCCAAATCAGAAAGGCAAACCAAGAATGCAAATGATTAATCTGGCCAAAGATATTGCTCTGTAATCCAATTCTCCCCATTGGCATGTGCATCCATCCATCCATCCCCCCACGCACCCACCCACAAAATAAAGTGCAGTTCTTCTATCAATAGATAGATAGATAGATAGATAGATAGATAGATAGATAGATAGATAGATAGATGTGATAGATAGATGTGATAAATAGATAGATAGATAGATAGATAGATAGATAGATAGATAGATAGATAGATAGATAGATAGATAGATAGATAGATAGATAGATAATGTCGTTCAACTCTACAGCCAGGAGAATGATCTGATCACGACAAGGGACTGATGTTAACATTCTGCCCAGGTCGCTTTGGATAGTGAGATGAGTGTCATATAAATGTATTTAATAAAAATAAATAAGTTCAACTCGAGATTACATTGCCACTAACCAATACAAAACGCAGATTTAGCATGTAGCCTCTGCTGTGAATTGAGCTCAATAACTTGGATCAGGTCCATCGTAGCTATGGCAGCCCTCGACCTCTGAAGTGCTTCTGACTCTGAGCCCAGAAACAGCCGGCTGAAATCTCCCAGAGCCATCAGTCTCTAGGGAACTCCACTGTCAACTTGGTCACCGAGTCAAGGAGTTCAGGCAGAAGCAGTAGTTCTATCCAAGTGACATTTACTATGGTTAATCAAACTTTTGGCGTTATTTTTTAAAGCAATTGTTGTTCTTCCTTAAATCGAGAAGTTTATTCATTTACTTTTAAAAGACTATTCAGTGTTCATAGACTATTCAAGACCAAAGGACCTTCTAAGTAAGATAATATGCATGGCACACTTCAGAACAAACGAAGAATGAATGGGTCCAGCTTCTAGATGGTTTTTGTTTTTAAAATACCAACTTAAACCAATTTATAAAGACTCTCCTAATAAATCACCTGCACTTTGTCAAATACTTTATCTTTGTTTAAACACAACCTGGGGGGAAAAAAAATCAGCTGTCCTTGGATTTCTAAGCTACTGACAGGAGAAGTCAAACTATTCAGACAGTAACAAAGTACTTAAGGTAAACATGTAGGTGAGTTTCTTCTCAGTGTTCAGAAAGCGTATTTTCTGCAGTCCTTCCCCCACAGTGTCCAATCAATAACTGCCTCATTATGGTGTATGGCAAAATGATGGGTGAAGATGACTTCTAGCTTTCCTAAAGAAACTTTTAGCCAAAAGAGCTGCCTCCAATGCAAATTATGAACAGAAATATGCTTACCACGAAAATGAAAATTTGGAGGTTTCTAACGATCACACAAATCAAGGAAAAACGTATTTGGCCTTAATCACAAACCTCCCTCCTTTTTTTTTTCAACTAGTCGCTGTTTCTTCCTTCCATTGTATGCTTTTTAAAAAATATCTAACTTAACTGATGTAAAAATTGCACCTGACCTTTCTAAGCTGTAGTAAGACTCACAAAAGCCTGCAAGCTGAGGAACCAAGCAGTCTGATTGTAGTAGTAAGATTTTTTTTTTTTTTGCAATGTCCCTCAGCAGTCTATCCTCACTGTGGTAGGACCACCGAAATCAACTCCCTAGGAAGAGGGTCCACCTCTTGTGGAACTCATAATATTATCTGAGGCGCCTTCTGTCACATCATGAGAGCAGAAGAATGGAAACTACTTGTGTTATCTTATTCTCCGGTAAAGATCTGACTAATTTTAATTATTATGTTACATGGCCTGGAAGCCTCTTAGAAGCTGAAGAATCAAATTTAAGCACGAAGAACAACTGCTGCCATTCATGGAGAACACTGGAATTTAACTGCCCTGTTGTTTGTTAAATGTTTGCCATATATAGCAAATGAGGGAAGAACCTGAAGTATGCAGATAATACCTGAAAAAAAATTAATGATCAAAAACATTGGTACAATTAATTTCATACTCTTCTACTTCATTTATTTCATGGTGTGTGATACAAGATCCAAATTGAAAAAGAGTATGTTAAAAATATTGTATATCTTTTTTTTTTCCTAATTGTCACTAATATACATGCACATCTTCACTTATCATTGTTATCCGCAAGTAATGAACATGCATGTGTCTAACAGCTCTTACTTATCTCATCTATATTTATATCAAAAAACCTGAAAGCTTCCAAGCTTATTTCAGCTCCTTGCTACATAGGTTGGCCAAATGGGTCTCTGCAGATGACACAATGTGTGTGAACACTGCTCTTTAGGGGGAATTCTATCTCACAACCATTTTTGTCAGATTTCTTGTCCATTGTATTTGGTACTTTCTCTCTTTATATGATAATTATTATATTATTTCAATTACATTTATACGCTACTCAGATAGTTGTAAGGAAAAAGGGTGGTTCAGTAAAATTTTAATAAATGCATAAATAGTGCACCACATACGTTACCGTGAAGCTGCGTTGAAATCAATAAAAAAGGAACTGATCTAAAAAAATTCTCACCTCAGCCTGAACAAAACAGCTTGCAGGAAGTTTAACACAGCGGCCAGTTCAGCTCCTCGGCAACCGGGCAACAACATACTGAACCCATCACTCATCAGCTTTTCTTCAGAAAGGTTCAGGTATAAGCTGCTTTCAAAAACTTCTTGGACCCCATCAACATACGTAGAAAGCAGCATCCAATGGTTTTGTTTCTGCAGGAGGTCATTTCTTGCGACTAAAAATTCTTTTGCCTTTTCACAGAAAGCCACCGAAAGTGGCTCGGCAAGCATTCCGATGTCCATGCTCTTGTCAATGTACGTTAAGATGAAAGCAAAATACCCTTTCCAGATGAGAGCTTTCTGGGTAACACTGGTAGAAGTGGGGCTGAGGAAACGCAGAAGTTCCATCATGCGGCTAGCCACATCTTCTGTCTCTGCTAAGGCCGCCAGCACCAGGAAAAGGTACAAGAAATTTTGAAGTCCAACTTCTGTTAGTTCACACATTCTTTTCTGGTGGAATTTCGAATAAATTCTGCATTATAAAAGAAAAAAACCCCAAAAAATTTCTTTTAAAATTTGTTTTGAATTTATTTATTTCATTTATTTACTGTATATACCTGCCCATCTTCTAACCAACTCTAGGAGGCTCCCAATCAATTGTCCTTCAAATTGATGATCCCTGCTAGTCTTAGTTCCAAAGAACTCTTTAATGGAAAATGAATAATGTTGAATGAATGAATGCCTTTCTACTAAAAATGTATTACTGTATGCGTATTTCTTCAACATTCCACTTTGTTTATACCAGTACATTCAGAATAAGGAACAAAAAACATTCACAGAGTAGGAAACTGTAAGATATGCCTGACAAGTGTGACAGAGCTCATGTAAATCACGAATGTCACATGAGAAAGAGATTTGGAACAAAAGTTTTACTTCTGTCTACCTTTCATCAAACAGAAACTGCTAATACATGAAGCAAGAATAATATATATGTGATGTCCTTTGGGGAGAAAGTGAAAATTGATTTGAACAAATCTAGTAAAACATTATTATCAACTAAAGTTTTTCCTGATGTAGCATCAACTGAAGTTCTTTTCCTGCTTTACAATGAACTTTTATACACTGGTAAAATTGATGGCAGTCTTCTACAATCCAATACTGTTAGCAGCAATTTGACTAAAATTCCCCATTCTCTGTTGTCAAGATGAAGGAATAATCCCAACAAATTTTTAGAGCAGCAATTTGGAAAACCTTGATCTACATTTTTACTGGGATCTGAGAAGAACATTGAAGACTGAATGTGTCATGAGAAAACAACCAAAAAGCAAAAACATGGTGATCCTATTGATCCTTTTCTGGACTGATCCATAAACTTCTGGAAAGTATCTGGATCATCAGGAGTGTGGATTATAGCATGTGGAAGTCAGTATTTATGAATATAAATCTTAAAAAAATGGATGTTTCTAAAATAAGACAAAAAGTGTCCACAATAAAAAGGACATGGTGGATGAAAAATCTTAGGTGGAAAACTATTAAGCTGCTCAGAGTAACCTTATAGGGGAGATGGGCAGGATAGATAGATAGATAGATAGATAGATAGATAGATAGATAGATAGATAGATAGATAGATAGATAGATAGATAGGTAGATAGGTAGGTAGGTAGGTAGATAGAGATACCCGCATACCTTCCTTTGATCTGCTTCCATGGATGAACTCCATTGATCTTGCCTGCTTTCTTCATTATTTGTGCCAAAATGCGAAGAAAAAATTGGAAACTGTTGCAGGATATATACATGTCAGGTGTATGTACATCACTGCAGTAGCTCTTTATCAACTCATACATAGATAAGGGTGTCTTGCTAATATTTGCAAGACCTTTGAGGCCAAACCAAGGAATGGTAAAAGGATTGTTCTGCAAAAATAAAAATAAAAAAGTTGCATAACATGGCAGAAGCTTTCTCTTTCTTCCACAAGTTATTTTATCATAACCAATCAGATGTCTAATAGCTGAGGAAGTAAAGAGCTCTCTAGCTTTAGATTGTAAATCACCTAATGAATGCTAGTTGGGGATCCGCTGCTCCTTTCTTCTCATCACCACAACAGCAGAAAATGAAATTTGCTATATTGGGCAACAAGGGTTCACCCCTTCCTTCTGACATGTATTTATTTAATATATTTATTGAAAATATAATATGTCAATTTTTAAAAAACATATTACTGATCTGAAAGAATTTCTGTGGTACAGTGCAATGCACAGTGAATGCATACATAAAACTGATCATTTGTTTTACAGAATCCAGAATGATTATTTGCTAGATAATAACAAGGTGTAACAAGTTTAAGTTAAAATATTTCAAATATTCTGAACTTGTATTGTTGTTGGAATAAAATAATGTAAAAAATAATAAACCTACCACTTAACAAAAAGCACTGGAATACTTTTTTTTAGAAAAACCTCCAAATGTTAGATTTTTTAAAAAACATATTCACTAACCAGATTTTTGCTGTAATGTTCCCAAACTATGGTGACAATAGTGAGATTTACATCCCAGATGTGGCTTAATGTCAAGCAACACTGAAGATGCATCCGTAATTGTTCTTCTAAAATTCCAGCCTAGCAGACAAAATATTAAGATGTTATTAGTTGTTTTTTTTCATTTATCAAGGTTTCTATTTTATACAACCTTGACCACAAGTAAAATCAGAAGGATTCACATTTAAGTACTTCATTTTATAACTACCGTTTCTGGCTTAAAAGGAAATTCTGTTAAAACAACACGCAAAATAGAAAAAGCAATCTGAGAAACGATGGTACTGTTACTGGATCTACTAATCTCCATGTATATTTTTTAGGCGTCTGAATCATGACATACTTTTCCAAAGGCTACATAAAAAAATTATAAGATATTTTTGAGAATATTTGAGTTTGAAAATCACTTTCATTCATCACATAAACAGTTAAAACTGTTGTTTTTCCTTAACTATACTTATATTTTCATTTTTTTCTTCTAACACTAATACACATACACACACACACACACCAATGCTATGTTCATTGTCACAGAAGTAAGTTCCACTTAATTCAAAGAAACTGTGATAAATATACATAAAATTACACCTGTCGCTTTAATTAGGATAATATGCAGTTTTGCTGGTACCAAAAAATGTGAATTCGTGCTAAAATCCTCACACAATTTTCTTCCTCTTTGTTGTGCAGGTCTAATAGACCTTTTGAATTACAGAATTTGAGGCTGAACCTTTATAGGGATAGGGGACAAACGGGAACAACAACACAGTACAGCTGTCTTCCTTTAACAGGAAGCTTCATAATATTTCAGTAAATGGAATCTTGGATAAATTTTGAATTCATTTATGGAATAGTTAAAAGTCAAATGGAAAACCATAACCCTTTTGCTTGACTATGTGGTCAGCTATCTTCAGCTACGCACAAAACAATTCAAACAAATTATTTATGTAATGGTTGACACTAAATTAGCATTTATACCATGCAACCAAGAACAAATTCACAAAAAAAAACATTAATATGTGCAGCATACTTAAAAGTACTTTTAAAAGGAGGTCACTTCTGACCTCTGGGGCCACAAAGTATTGCATTAACAGCTCTGCAGAAAGAAAAATGATAAGGTATGAAATGAGTGCTCAAAAGCTACAACCTTATCAGTAAGAGTTTGATTCAAGCCTGTAAGACAAATTGCTCAGCAAGTCAAGTCACCTTCCTGCTGTGATGAGGATATAGCTGAATTTTCAATGCAATAGACTATCTCCCTTATCACGTCTCTCAACTTGATACCCTCAGATGCAGTATACATTTTCTAAGCATCCTGTTCTTATTTGGAATATATCTTGTCGAAGGAGCCAAGTAACACGTCCAGGATAATTATCTCTACCATGCACCTTATCTGACAATTTATCTTCAAAAAACAACATTTAAGAGTATCTCTTCTAACAAGAAAAGAACTATGTAGAATCCTAGCTTATAAGATCAACAAGGATGGACATATTCAAAATTAATTTCAGAAAGTAAGGGAACGAATAAGGTACATTAAACCCCTTGTCCCCATATTTTGAAGCAGCCATCATCAAACTTTCAAGTTATTATTAAAATACTTACTTGATTATTAACAGACTGTTTCAGCAGATCTTCAACATAAGGCCAGTTGGATTCTACTGATTTCTGAATGGAAAATAGTTGGAAAATAATAATTAATAATATCAGTAACAATTACTCTGTAAAAACCTATCCATTAGTAACTTATACTGAAGTCAAAGATCTCTCAGCTAACTAGCAGGATTGTAACCTAAATAAACTAGGCAGAGGTTATATTTCTGACCTGGAAAAAAAGTGAGTAAAAGCACATGAGGACAGAGTTATATAAAGATATACAGGTTTTCAATAAAGCTCTAAAACAGGTTTAGGATTAATAGAAATTTAAGTTAGAAATAGATTATTTTAAATATATTAAGCTATTTGAGGGAAATAGAGAGGGAATACTTGATGTACTGATTGAGTTATTTATATATGTTTTGTTTTTGGATTTTTGACTACCCCTGTTCCACGGTGTGTCTCAAGCACTTTGTCTTAAGAATAAAAAAACCAATAAAATTTGTTTTTGTTTTTGTTTTGTTTTTTAAAAAAGATATACAGGTTTTACAGAAAGAAAATAGGGAGAGCTCCCTCTTTCGTAAAAGTAGCTCCTGGCTTACTGAGTGAAGCTGATTGAGAGAAGTTTCAGGACACCCTAAAAGAAGTATTATTTCATAAAGTGCATAAATAAAATATAAAATTTACTATTAGAAAATTGGCTGACTTTATGACCTAATGACCTTAGTGGCGGTCGTTAAGTGAACCCATTGTTAGTTATGGCATGGTTGGCTAAAACCATCCTAAAATATGGTCATGTGACTGCGGGGGGGGACAGGAGGAGGGAAGAACTGCTGAAACTTCCCGTCTTAACTCCGCTTTTGCAAGTAGGCTGTAACTTTGAATGTTTATTAAGCAACCATTTGTAAGTTGAAGATTATATGTAGACAAATTCATGAGGATTTGTTTAATGCTATTGCTCATAATGCCTCTCCTATATCACTGGCAATAGTTTCTATTGAGGATTATATTCTACGACTAGTGAATTTTCTATATGTACATAGTCATAGATGGATGGAGTAACTAAAGCCTGGGACTCATTCAACGTGTTTCTTCTCATGAATATATCTATGACCAGTATCTCCTTTTTCACTATTTTTAAAATTAGTACCTAAAAAACTTCTTCCTATCCTGTTGTTAAATTAGTACAAAAAGCATTTCTGAGCCTTGCAGAGAACAAATTCATTTTGTTTTTCTTGGAATAAAATATTTAATATCACCTTTTACCTAGAAGAAAAAGATCTTCAGAATGCATAAATATAATTTAAATTATCCTTTAGGTTCTAAATTCAATGTGTCTGCTATACTCTATTTAAAGCAGGGGTGTCAAACTCGCAATATCACGTGATGTGTTGCGACGCATCATGACTTTTTTTCCATTGCCGGCAATGGGGTGGGCACGGTTTCGCCATGACGCATCCAGCCTGTGGGCCGGCAGTTTGACACCCCTGATTTAAAGAATGCAGCTAATTTCAATGGATTTCATATGAATCACAACTAGCAATTAATTAATTTACATATTTTTTCTAAGGATCATAGCCAGCATGTGTTATAAGTTAGCTTTCCTGCAATTCTTAACCACAAGTGGTGTTAATGAAACCTACCAGAAGATCTAGAAATGATTACTGCCCTCTCTGATTTGGTCTAAGTCAGGGGTAGGCAACCTTGGCTTTTTTATGACTCGTGGACTTCAACTCCCAGAATTCCTGAACCAGTCATGGAATTCTGGGAGTTGAAGTCCACGAGTCATAAAAGAGCCAAGGTTGCCTACCCCTGGTCTAAGTTAATGAGGAATAAAGTATTAAGCCCTTCTGTTTACATCAGACATATCAAACTCGCGACGTCATGTGACGTTGCGCAACGTATCGGGACGGTTTTGCTATTGCCGGCAATGGGGTGGGCGTGGCTTCCAGATGACGAGTCCAGCCCACTGGCCGGCAGTTTGACACCCCTGGTTTACATAAATCAAGTTTATAAACACAGTTCAAAAGGTTTTCAATTGTTGAACTAAAAATCCCCAACAGTGATAAAATGACAACCATTTTCTATCTTTAATAAAAAGTCCTTTTGCCTTTACAATATAGGGTTTCATAAAGCATTGCAAAATATTCACTCCCTTAGTATATCTGTCATTTCTGCCTAAGGAAAACACTTGTGATACCATCTGCCAAACAAACACACATGTAGTTCTGAGCTAATAGCATGAAATATGATTTTTGCATTCATTTGTCATGTAACTTAAAAGGACAACTTGAGTTGCAACTTTAAGTACACAGGCAACATTTCTTTTTAACTCTATGCAAAAAGAATCTAGTTTCTTCTTCTGCTTCACTTGTTGAGTTGTTAAGCTGCTCAGCTGGAAAGCACTCTTTGCTTATCTCAGAAAGTATTTTAAACTATTCAAAGGTAAGAATATTTAGCTCAAAGTCATTCAAACTCTCTTTGGTAGCCCTGAGCAGCATTAAAATTGACCCCTGCTATGTTCAAAAGTTGTAATATTTTTAATTCTATTTGGATTTTGAAATTTATGAATATAGCCTTTAAGAATATGATAATGCAGACTCTTTGGGTATTAGGAAAAGACATTTAAGATATATCTGTGTTTTACAAATTTTCAAAAAGTTATATATTTTCTTACAGAAATTTGACGCTTTCCAATTTTTGATCCAATGCAAATTACTACCACTAAATATACATCAAAACGGATGGATATATCAAGGTTTACTAAATAAATGACAGCACGAAGCCAAAACCAAATAAATTATGTAACGGCATACTGCAATGTGCAAATAGGTAAACCAGTTCATGTATTTTTGAAGCTGCACCAATCTTTCCTAAATCTGTTTTTAATATTATTTATGAAATGTTATTTTAAACTGAAACCATGTGAGTATGTGTACGAAATCCAGTCTGTTATAGTCTGTCATAGTGTCTAAGTATTGGTGACCTTTTTAATAATTTCAATCTTCAAATACAAGTATACATTTCCAAAACAGACAATCTGAAGATATAAAATAATTGTTTTAAAATATTATACAGGAAATTGCCAATTAACTAAAGGTAAGGCAATTTAGGATAGGTAGTATATGTTTCTGGCCTGCATGAATAATCCAAGGTTTGGAAACTAACAACAGAAACAGCTTTTTGGAAAAGAAAAAAGTCAAGAGTTGTGTTTGTACATATTCTACAAACGTGTTGAGTTTTTCATGTTGTACAGATTGAATTTAGTGGTTGCTTTAGTCTTTATGCTTGCAGAAGCCAAGCAGAAGCGGCCAGACCACAAAAATTAGTATGCATGTTCCCACTAAGACTGATTATTTAGTAATGTTGGTTTCCATTTTTATTAATTTTCAAAAGTCATTAATATTAAGCACCCAGATTTCATTATGGTGTTCAAGGTCAGTGTAAATTCATAGTGATAATTTACCAGATATTAGGATTTCATAGACTGGCTTCATATGGAAACAAAGTGATGCTTTTATTAAAAGCAGCTCATTAAACAAACCACAATTGGCTGGGGCTATAGGCCATTCATATGGCTTGATCCGTTTCTCTGACCAGCTGAAAATCAGAATCTAATGAAAACAATGCTTAAAGAATGATAACAAATGTAAAATTTCACAAACAGAATACATACCTATAAAAACTACAAGTCAACTAAATGCAGCCAAACCCTCAGTGCTTAAATAAACATATAGTTATAATATTGTTTTCTCTGGGGTAAGAAATAAGATGCAGAGCGCAGAAAAGAAATAAATTCAAGAAATTAAAGGCTTGGGATTTCTCCTTTCTTTAAAAAAGTGAACACAGTTAGAATGACTTTTCACTCAATCAGTTCACTGTATATCTCCACAAATTTCTACCATTCAAACCATCCCTTCTTCCACCCCATTCATATTTTGCTTCATACACTGGTGCTTGGTGTCTTTTTCAAGATATCGTCAGCTCTACTGATCTCTCAGTTTTGCATTCAAATCACATTTCCTATATTCAGCGCCCATACATTCTTGACCTTATCTCTTCTTATTTTACTGCTTAACTCCTTCTGCATACAGCTAACTTTGATATTCCTCCTGACATACCTCTGGCTTCTAGATAACAAAGAGGGCAGTGGGCATGTTGTTAAACCAGAACCATTTCTGCTTCTTTTGGTAAGCATTTCATATTTCAGACCATATACCATTAGCATTGGTCCATCTTAAAAGCTTTTCCTTTCAAATACATACATTTATCTACTTGCTCTAGTTTTTCACTATTTGTCTATGACTTGCAAACGTTCGCTCTCTTCTTTCTGTCAAGCACCACTACTTTGGTCTTTGATTTTCAAATCCATCTTCCTTGATGCATCAGTCCAACACTCACAGCAAACCATTTTATTTCTCTGCTAACAATATGGCTTTATTTATATACAAAGGCATACATATAGTCACCTTCCCATCATACCCTCCATCAACACAAGCGTTCTCTATACATTTCTCCACAAATACGTTGAACAAGCAAGGGGACATGGCACATCTTTCTCTTTCTCCCTGCTTAATGCTATAAAGCATTTGCTAAGCCTTCCATTTGTTCTGAAACATCCTTTATCTACCACTCTTCCATTATCTACCACTCTTATTGCATTCAGCCGCCAGCCTTCAACAACATACTCATTGCAAAACATTCCATAATTCATGATTACTCCCTTTATAATATGTTCTACCTAAATCGACAAATGTTCTTTTTCACACTGACACACTCTCAATGAGCTTAAAGAATAAATATTTTTAAAACAGGAATGTAACAATTAAAAACACCGTGTGACCTTTGACTTTTAACACTGCCTTGTTACTAAACTGGTGCCTGTCATTTCACTTTTTAAAGAAAAATATAGCAAACATTTCTGTAGGTAGGATAGGATTAAGATTCCTGTATTTAAGATGAATATTCCTGTATCTCACATTTAAGAAATTTACATGCCATTTTGTTCACAAGTATTAAAAACTTTTGGGAAATTAATGAGATATTAAAAACGCCTTACAAATATTCTCTGTGGGAAAAACACAAACTTACCTTTTCATCTATATATCCATTCCGGTCAATACGATAAAGTGAAGCCAAGTGGGTTATAATCCACCAACTGAAACTCAGTAGATCCTTGCATGGAATTGATTCAAAAGCAGACACTGCACCAGTACCATTGTTTTTTTCGAACACTTTATTCAGAATTTTATTTAGCCAGTTCCAAAAAGACTGTAAAAAAAAACCAACAGTTTTTAAAAGGAATCCTGCAGATTTCAACCATCTGCTTAGCTCTTGAAGAACTTTTCCTATTCCTCTTTTTTTTTTTTTTTTGCTTTATCAAATAGCAGGTTACACAGGGCAGATTCTGAGGCTGAAATAGAAAACAATCTGATCTTTTTCCTAGCTAACTTTTTAAACATACCTTGGATGCACTTTCATTTTTATATGGTCACATTTCTGAGTGAACATGTATACAAATGCACATTCACACAGAGACAAATATTTCCAGAACAGGGGAAAAAATCCTCTGATAGCCAAACATTAGTTGGCTATGCAGGGTTGTCAAACTGCTGGCCTGCGGGCCGGATGCATCATGGCGAAACCGTGCCCACCCCATTGCCGGCAATGGAAAAAAAAATCACGATACGTCACGACACGTCATGTGACGTTGCAAGTTTGACACCCCTGTTCCAACGTAATTTTACTTTTGATAATATATTTTTCTTAAGGAGCTCAGGTTCTGAATTGGACAAGGGTATATTAATTCTTTGACCTTCACTGTAGACCTAATATGATTTAGAGTTCCCATGAATGCAATCTAAAATCCAAAATATACCATTAATATAGTACAAATGGATACCACACTGGGGACAATCTATGGAGAAAGGGCCATTTGACATAGGACTGTAACAAAGCAAAAGAGTAAAATCAAGTCTCTTGATTGTAAGAGGCAAGAAAACCCTGAATAAATAAAAGAATCAAATCAAGTTTCAGCTACATCTCAATCAACAATTTGTGACCAAACCTTTATATTTAAAAACCAAATCATGCAACTAAAGTAAGGATAGGCAATCTGGTGCTTTCTAGCTATTTTAGATAGAAATTTCAGTTTATAACTATATAGTTTAAGAGACCACCTTTAGATTATATAAAGAACAGGGTATATTTTCAGTATAATCAAGAAAAAGACAAACTAGATGAGGACAGTGATTTGCAATTATTTGGTGGAAATCAAGACAGGTTTCAGAATTATCCAAGATTGTGTTTTGTGATTACTTAAACTCAGGTAAACTGCTCAATTTAAAAAAACAAAAAACAAACACACACACACACACACACACAAACAATTCTATTGGGATGCTAGATTAATACACCCAACTTTAGCTTTTATTCTTTATAATAATAAAATCATGGACCCATCACAAATAAGTACAAACATTAAATGACAGTAAAATAATGTAACAATACAATACCTTGCCGCCCCATTTAATATAATCAATAACCAATTCCAAATGTATTAGGATCCAATCTGGGTCAGTCACTGAGGCCAGAGGTTTAGTTTTCTGAGCTTTTGGACTCGTGCTGGAGCCCCTCCTCAGGGAACGTCTTTCTAGCAAAGTACACACACTTTTAAGTTTCCTTAAAATGGACTCCATCACGAGTCTGAAAACTCAGAAGACTAAACCTCTGGTCCCAGGGACCGATCCAAATTGGATCCTGCAACATTATCCAGAGACGTGTATATTTGCCTTCATTCCAAATGTGTGCACAGTTGGTAAAGCAGAACTTCTATTAGCTACAAAGGAAATCAGTTTGGAATAGTGAAACACATCCGAAGAGAGAGGCTATGAAGAAGCTATAACTATTGCCTGGACATGCAGTATTAATTTATGACTTATTGTGTTTCCCTGAAAATAAGACCTACCTAGAAAATAAGCCCTAGCTTAATTTTGGAGGGTAGGTCTAATATAAGCCCTACCGCAAAAATAAGCCCAAGCTAGGGCGGGGGGGAGCTATCCCACGCGCCCCGCACCCACTTACAGTTGCAGCCAGGCCTCCCACCTGCCTCGCCAGCTCACTTCTGCTGCCACTCATATGCGTGCATCACCCCCCGCCTCCATTTCGCTATCAGAGAGCTTCAGGAAATGCCTCTGCAGCTGAGAATGGAGCTCTGGATTGACTTGCGCAGTGCCCCGTGACCTCCATTTCGCTGTCATAGGCCTTCAGGAAAGGCCTCTGAACCAGAGAACCGAGTTCCAGATTGAGGCGTGGGCTGAAGAGGCCTTTCCTGAAAGCTTCTGATGGCGAAATGGAGGCTGGGGGGCACCATGTGCATCAATCTGGAGCTCCATTCTCAGCTGCAGAGGCATTTCCTGAAGGCCCCTGATGGCGAAATGGAGGCTGGGGGCAACGCGAGCAAGTGGCGGCAAGCAGCCACAGAAGAAATGGGCCATCTGGGCAGGGCTGTCGGTGCTGCCGCAATGAGGTAAGGTCATGGAAAAGACATCTCCCCAAAATAAGACCTGGTGCCTCTTTTGGAGGCAAAATAATAATAATAATAATAATAATAATAATAATAATAATAATAATAATAATAATAATAATAATAATAATACTGTGTCTTATTTTCGGGGAAATAGGGTACTGTCCCAAGGCCAAATACCAGAAATTTTAACTATAAATCTTTAGTGGGGGGAAGGATGGCTTATTGTGCTATTGATTCTTTAAGCTACTACAGTCCTAATGATTCCCCAACTAAGTCTCAATGGATGGTTGCCTTACTCCTGGTCTGATAATATCCAGCAATACCATGCTGAAAAATATTTGACCATGCTGGTCAACTAACATAAACTTCTTTAAAGTTTATAAGGAAAAAAAGCAACACCTTTGATACAAGTTTACCTATGGGGTAGATAAAATCGTTTGATATATTTGTCAAACCATGAATTTCTGCAGGTTTCCAACGCAATTTGTTTCATGAACTGTATTCATGCTGGGAATGTAACAATTCCTACCTCTGTAAGAGATGCTTTATTTCTGTGGTCAAGCAGATGAATAAGCAGGACCCACAGCTCTTTTATACAGATACAAGTATAGTGGTGAGTAATAAGAGCTTCAGAGAGCCTAACCTGCAACAAATAACATTTTAACTCGGAGAAAGCAGAAAACATTTATACATGAACAAATGTCAGAGATGGAGGAAGCGGTTGAAAAATATCACTGAAATACTTAAGGGTAAATATGAAAAGATTAAACCATCCAGCAAGTAGTATACATTTTTCTTTCTTTTTTCAAAAAAAGAAGCTGTCAGATCTTTGTAAGCATGTGCTTGAAATCCAAATTTAAATGTGCATTATCTTTGTAGTGTTATAATTTCTTTGCCTACTGCAATTTTTCAGAAGTGACTCCCTTTAAGGAAGAAAATGGATAGGTGTTAGCTTATGTGTGTATGTTAGAGAAAAAGAGAAAGAGACTTATCTAGCTCTGTCAAAACCACTGGGAATTATTTATGTGCTTAATACTAAGAAAATGTTTAAGGAGCGTTCACCTCAATACAATTCATACACATTGATCACTTCTTTATTGGTGAGAAATTATTGAAACTGTCCTACTGGTAAGACTTAGACAAGGTAATTTTGGTGACTTCTTTCTTCCGGTTCCATTGTAGAAAACCTTCTGACTCTTGAAAGCAATTTTTGGAAGAATGACCTACTTAAAAATCACATTTAAATAATAGGTAAGGTTATATTTGAGATTTCAATTGTCGCTTTGACCATTATTAAATAGTTCATAAGCAAATCTTTTTAACATTCATATAATTCTGGAATTCTGGAAAAATGCTTTTAAAAATAGTACACTAAGCCTATGCTTAATGTACTATGTACTATCAATACCACAATCCTCTCTATATTTTCTCAGTATCCAGTTTGCCAAATTCAACAGAGCTTATTCTTGAGTACTGTGGTTATTTAAAGTTACCTGTCAGATATTAAGGGCTACTATTCAGGATGGTTGACATTATAATTAAAACCTTAGTAATAAACAGACGTCACTATCTGTTAAATTCTATCATACAGGAAAACCAACAAGGATCTTAGAATAATTCAAATAAAAGGAACACACAAGAAATAACTTCTTTTTTCTACTCCCCACAGCATCAGCATGAAAAAGAAAAAAAAAATAAAGTCACAGACTCTGAATAAAGGATATCTTAGGAAATTTCTGCAGCATTAACTTTGAACATTCTGAAAGTATGACAAAACTATGTTATTGCTAAATAAACCAATATTTTCAAATTATTCCACACTAATTTTTATGATAGAACCTATAAATGCACAACTTTAATGCCATACATGATGGAATAAAAACACTACATTGTTCGGAAGCAATGCAATATTTCCTGAACTGTTAGTCTGCCATCTTTAATCAAATGAGTTATACCTTGACGTACCAGCAGGTGGTAGTGTAGTTACATATAGCAACTGAATACCACTCCCCTTTTAAGATTTAAAAAACAAAGTTTCACTCCATTTTGCATTACATTTGGAAAATAAATACTTACTTTTTACATGTCACGTAGATTTGCCCTTTATCCAATTCAAAACTAACCTATTTGATAGTTTAGAATTAATTAGCTGAATAATTTATTTTGCACTTGGGAACTTTGGAAGGTAAAGGAAACAATGCATAAGAAAGATTTATCAAACAAATCTTTTGGTGTTTTTTTTTTTAAAAGTAGGCTACTAAAAATTGTGTGTGTGTGTGTGTGTGTGTGTGAGGGCATGCTCCCCCCCATTTTATAACAAACTTACAACTAAAATTAGGAGATAAATGAATATAATAACTCTTGTAACCAGCTCTTTTGCTTCCTGTCACAGTCCAAAGACTGATCTCTCTAGAGCAGGGGTGTCAAACTCGCAATGTCACGTGACGTGTTACGACGTATCGTGACTTTTTTGCCATTGCCGGCAATAGGGTGGGCGCGGTTTCGCTATGAAGCATCCGGCCCACCGGCCCAGCAGTTTGACACCCCTGCTCTAGAACATTAGGGCCGCAGGAAAAGAAGGAATATCTGGAGATTTCCATTTGCCAAAGGCATCGCTCACTTTTATAGTTCATAGACTTCATTTCTGTACAAAAGCACTTCTCATCAAACTGTATTTTCATTTAACCACCTCACAAAGCTGAATTAATAGTGATAAGATTAATTTATCTGGGAAATACTATTTCATAAACAGATACATTTCTACTGTTTCAGAAATTTAGGCAGCATTACTCTAATACTGAATAAAATTGTAATACCTTTGAATACTTCTTAACTGACAAACTTATCAGATCATATAAGAGGTTTCCACAGTGATCTTCGAACAAACTGATATTGGTTAGATTTTCTCCAGTTAAATTGGTAAACCTGTGAGCATATATGGTTTGCCCTAGAAAAATAAATAAAATGAGAAAATTAGCTTAACGAATGCAGAAATAGAAATATGTTTTCACTGCAAAAACAAACAGCTGCAAACCAAATCTATAGTCATTCCTTTTCTAAATTTATCATACTGTAAATCTCAGATGTGTATCATTTGGTTGTATTGTTTGTGGGTGATCTTGGAACCAGTCACTCTCTCTCTCTCAGCCCAACTCATCTCATAAGGTAGGCCAGAGGTAAGCAACCTCGGCTCTTTTATGACTCATGGACTTCAACTCCCAGAATTCCTGAGTCAGCGCTGACTCAGGAATTCTGGGAGTTGAAGTCCATGAGTCATAAAAGAGCCGAGGTTGCCTACCCCTGAGGTAGGCGAACATACTTATAATACACCTCACATTGTTGTGGAGAAAATAGACGGAAGGCGTATTAAATACGTTCACCACCTTGAGTTATTTAAAAAAATAATAAAAGGCAGTATAAAAATAAATAAATGAAATAAAAAGGTTGATATCACTGTGTCTTTGTAGCAGGATGAAAATGTCCAGTGTTGGTTCAGTAACAGAATCCTGATTTAGATGGGTTTCTTCTAGGGCCGTGCAAAATATTTAATTGCAAACCATTCCCCCCCAAAAAAATCTTACATATCATGCTCATCTATACCGGAAGCTAAATTGGTCACGACTAAATTAATGCTGATTCCATTATTGTGGCTTCGTTAGTTTCCTCTAAGCGTAATTAACTTTGGTCCAAAATTTCTATCGCAACCAAGGAATCCCTTTACTCTATTTTACCCTCCATCAGTGCATGCCTCAAATGGCCTCTGTGAGAATTCTCCAAGTCTTTACATTTGGAGATTGCTCAGGAACAGAGAAAGGAACAGGAATGTCATTGTCTATTAATGTTCAGTTAGAACTGAAGAGAGGGAAAGCATTATTGGGGAAGCACCACTGTATGCATGGGTAGGAAGGGAGCTTGGGAGACAGGAGAATTATATCTGAAGATGGTTTGAAGTTATGCATTTCCCTAACATAGCTGTTTCTAAGTCTGCCCTTTGTCCCCTTTTTCTCTCGGACGACTGAAAGGAAATTCTAAAATTTAGACAGGAGAATAAAAGCAATATTTGGAAGGAAGGCACTGCTATGTAAACAGGTCCTCAGAACAAAAGCACCCCACACTAGCTTTTATTGCAAACTCTAAATTCTTATTGTTAAATAATGTACAAAGGACGCAATCTAGGATTTAGCATTGTAAAACATAATAAAGATGGATATAAAATTGAAAATACTTATTTTTTTCTCCTTCAGTCATGTGTTAAACTAATTCTCACAGTGAGTCTGAACAAACTTTTTCTACTATAATATGTGACCTTCAGTGTCTGCCCAATTCAAAATGTCACCCTCTCCCTATATTTTGCAACTCCAAGAACAAATATTTAGGGGTAGAGTAGCCTGAGTACACTGAACATATATTGAGTAAATGTGAATAGGGTGCCATGTTGTCACTTAATTCATACCTTTTTATCAATTATTAAGTAAACTTGTGGAAGTAGAGGGAGGTACGAAGAAGTAAGGAATAAGTGGCATTCATCTATCATTCAGCAGCTAAGATTGACAGTACTCTACATCAATGTTGAATGATGTCTGGTTACCACTGATCCCTTTAAAATGGAATTGTCAATCAAGGAATTGTTTTTTAAAAATCTGAGAATGACTTTATGCTTGATTGGCCGTAGTAACTGGGACCTCTAGCAATAGCCATTTTTGACATCACAATGCAATTCTAAACATTGTATTTTACTGGACAGTCTAAGAGAATTTGCATGAATAATTTTAAAAATACTGCAGGATAATCACATGTGAGCATACATTACATCATGTGCCTTCAAAATATTTTTATAACTTCACTAATAAAGATAAAGATAACTGTTAAATTTAAAATTGCGCTGTAATATTAACAGACTGTTGAGTGTGCAATTTGTATAAGGACCTTTTACCCTTTCAAAATACAGTGAAAACAAAATGAATTTGTAAAGAATTAAGTTAGAAATCCCATCAAAATCAAAAGGACAGTAAATGTTTATTGATTTTAAATCAATAGGACAAATAATAAATAGATGCATTGCATTGATCCTTTAATTGATTTATAAGCGAAGTTTTGCTGTGAAAATATATAAATCAATTGAGTTATTTATTGATTTTAAAAATGGGGCTGCACAGATATAGATGAATCAATCTCATTAAAACTGTTTATAATTTGAGAACTGAGAGATTGTAGTAAAAGAAAGTGAAATAGAAATAACCAGGGCTTTTTTTGTCATAGAACGCCCAGAACGGAGTTCTGGCACCTTTTTTGGATGGAACCTTGTAGGGTAGGCATGGCAGGTTGTATGATGTGTGTGAGTTCCGGCACTTTTTTTTTTTTTTTTTTTTTTACAAAAAAGCACTGGAAATAACCTATTTTAGGATTTCCCAAGCTGGTTCCTTCAGGATATTGTCTGGATTTCAACATATTAGACTTTGGTCTCCATAATTCACTGTCATTTTGCTAATTTAGGATAACAGGAACTGAAGTCTAACATATTCTGGCGGGTACCCGGAGGGGGGAGACTGATCTTCCCAATCACCAGATATCAACATAAAACAGTAATCTGCTCTTCTTTGTTTTATTTAGCTTCCATAATTTAAAAACATGTTTGGATTCTCTCCCTAAATAGCAAAAAACAACAGGAAGCATAATCTCTTTCCATATTTTAGCTTCTCTTGTATTTCCTGGTGAATTACTTGGAAATATTTTTTTACTGCACCTCCCTGAATTGAATTCATGTGTTACTAAATAGTCTTAACAACTATTGTGTAAGCTTGGGTCTTAACAGAGCTGTGGGCAAATGATCAGCTGTAAAAACTGAAACTGTGCATAAATAAATGTAAGCATTTTAAATCCCAATTTTGCAAGCAAAAATAAACAGACTGATCAAACTGTTTTAATCCTAGTATACTTAAATGTTTCCCATTATATATGAAAATTTGAACTTTGAATGTCAACTTGCTAAAACCTGGACCATAAAGTCCTGGTTTAAGAATCTTAATAGATCCACCAGCTACCAAACAAAATCCCAGAGATAACAGAGGTACCATATTTAAAAATATGAAGATTGATGTAAGAAAATCAATATGAAGAGGATGTAAAGGATGAAGATGCCTGATATCAATAATATAATCCACAACTTCTTCCCTTCCTTTTGTAGATTGCATCACTTTTCCTGTGTTTGTCCACCCTGTCATACACATAAGGAAGCAGAGCAAATGCTGTAACCTCTGAGCGAAGAGCCAGAGAGCTCACTAATTAAAAATAAGCTTCATTTTGTCATTGAAAATTGTACAGTTAGTCCTTGAGGTATGACTATTTGTTCAGAGACCAAATTTACAGGGACATTGAATGACTAGTGGTTATACTCAGTCCCTAAACATACAGCCTTTGCAGCACCTTCAACATTGAAATTTGGGCACTTGGCAGCCCTGCAGCATTTGTGACCACGGGCACTCTTCAACTCTTCCATCCACCTATCTCCCCCCACCTCTGCTGATCCTGCCAGCTTTACCACCCCTGCCAGCTTTACCACCCCCAGATAACCTTCACTGTCTTCTTCCTGCCACTGTTGAGATACAACCGACCTCTTTGATGGGCAGTTGCTGACCGTGCCAGTTCTTCTTCCCAAGACTGTGCTCACCTCTTGTCCAAATTGTGTGTAGCCTACTGGTGAGGGTTTTGGAATGCAGATTGTGTTGGCCAGGTCAGCAATGGCAGATGTGGTAGAGTGTAAGGTGGCCCAAAAGGAAGAGATGGGGAGAGGTAGGCAGATAGGTGAGATGAAAAGAAGGCAGTCTCTTATCTTACCAAGGTTCGGGGCTGGGAGGGACCAATTCAGGAGTGGCTTGGATCGGTTGGAACCTTGGCTAAGGACTAGTGGGATCTGCAGAATTCAGAAAGAAGTGTATTTAATACTATGAAAAATAGTATTAAATAAACTTCTTTCTGAAGACTACAGAAAGTAGTATTTATCCTTCCAAATCCCAACATACAAATAACACAAAAGATATAAGCCAGGAGACTCACTTTGCATCTTTTCACCAAGAAGATGGAGGATTTCTAACACTGACCAGTGAATGTCTATGCACAGATGCAGCAAGTGCCACGATGGAGGAAATAACTACATTAAAAAATATCCAAGAAAAATACTGTACGTTATATTTTAATTTACCGTATATATGCAGAATAAACTGTGACATATAAAGATTTTTAAATGAACTGGCCCTCCATGTGCTGGAAACTGATAATTAATGTAGTAGGAAAGATGTAATATTACTCAAATGATGCCAAATATCGTCACTTTTTAAAGGGTTGTATGTATCATGACTCAACAGAGAAAAGACAATTCTTTAATTAAAAAAACTATAAGATCATGCTATTACTATTGCAAATAGGTATCCAGTCATTTAAAAATTATAGCATCACTACATGTAGTCCTCATTTAGGGACAACTGGGACTGGCAACTTGGTAGTTAAGCAAAGAGGTCCTGAAGTGAAACTGCAACTATGCTTACAATCTTACTTCAGTTTCCTTTGCTTTACAAATGTGAAGGTCATAAATACAAAAACTGGTCGCAAAGTTAGTTTCAACACCATTATCACTGTAGTCAGTGGTGGGATTCAAATACCTGAATAACCAGTGTGGATGCCACTTCCAGGAGTCCGTTCTGAGTCGGGGAGGCATCCCAGACCCAGTATAGTCCACCAGAAGTACATGGACGCCCAGGCCTCCGAGGCTCAGAATGGACTTCTGGAAGTGGCATACATGCACTTCCGGCAGTCCGTTCTGGGCCTTGTGAAAAAGGGCTTAGGGCATCAGCCGGTTCGCCGAAGTCAACAAAAAATTACCTACTGGTTCTACTGAACCGGTGCAACTAGCTAAATCCCACCACTGACTGTAGTCACTAAAAACAAGGCAGTTGCTAAATGAGAATTCTCTTTATATGTAATATATTTTTATCTTTTTATCTCCAGGAACGTTTTTCATTTTTATCTCAGCATACATTTAAACTAAAATATTCTGAATTTCCTATCTATTCAATAGTAATGATTTAATATGCTACAACAGGGGTGTCAAACTGCCAGCCCGCGGGCTGGACGCGTCATCCGGAAGCCACGCCCACCCCATTGCCAGCAATGGCAAAACCGCCCTGATACGTTGTGCAACGTCACGTGATGTTGCGAGTTTGACATGTCTGTGCTACAAGAACAAATTGTTTTGGGAAATAATGATGGGCAATTCAACACTTCTGAATTCATGGAAAGGGTGAGGATACTAAGTACTTTTATACAGGTCAAGTACAGTGTCCTATGGAAGTAGGATTCTCCATCTTACTAGCCACAGAGAAACTTCTGAAAAATTTCCTAAAATAATGGAGAAGAAAACAAAGGCAAACTGAACTTGGGCTGGGACTTTGAGAACTGAATGAAAATAATGTGCAGAGACATTACTCCCCCCCCCCCGCATTCCTAAAGGCAAATATATTTTAGAAGGCAGACATCCTAATGTACAGTATCTCACACACATGCATACGAGATAAAATCTTCCCCAAATTCAGAATTAATGGGGAAGAAAGACCAGGACCTGTGTATGAAATTCAACAGGCTAGATGAGAAACCTCCTGGGGGCTGGCCCACAAATTAGAGCTCTTCCATATCTACGCCAAGGGATGAGCCCTAGTAATATCACTTCTTAAGTCATCACTTAATAATGGTACTGACTTTGTGCCATATCTTATAGCATTCCCCTATGGCTTCTCATCAATGTCCCAACATTTACAAATAATATATTCTGTATTATTTTTTTTGCATGATCCTCATGTTCTGATAATATTGCTTATAAGGAAGAAAAAGATAGACAACCTTTGCTTGAGGCAGAATGGTGTTTCCTTCTAAAATGCAAGCAGGGAGGTCATGTAAGTGGCCAATATGCAGTGTCAAAGAATAGAGTTCTTCAACAATCAAGGAAGGGAGTTGTGCTTCTTGTTTCTCATATGGATGGAACAGCTCATCTTCTGTTTCATGTGGCTCCAGATACCTGAAGAAATTCAGGGAGACATAGGATTGTACAACATAAAAATATACAGAATAGATGAAACAAGAATCGGCATCTCACCTGAAGATGAAAACTTTCACATATTGCAGGAACTCAACACATTTTTGTCTTATATTCTGTGCTTCTAAGTGAAGGTTTGCAGCTTGACCTGAAATAAATCAGAAATTAAGGATGTAGTTTTAGGGAGCATGTGCACTGCCCAACTTTACTTGATCTTCGTATTAAGGATAAACAACAATACATATTATTATAATTGTATATTAAGGGGAGCCCCTGCCCCCAAGTTGAATTATTCACACCAGTTTAACAATTTATAACTTTATAAGTAACTCAAGATGGTGAACGTACAGAATATTCCTTCCTCCTCCTGTTTTCCTCACAATAACAACTCTGTGAGTTGGGCTTAAGGAGTTTTTCATTCCCAAGGCAGGACTAGAACTCACAATCTCCTGGTTTCTAGGCCAGCTCCTTAAACACTGTATGATCCACACATACAAATGGATTTTTCTGTTGGTTGCTGAATTTTCAATCTTTCAAGATGGTGCACTATGTTAGTATATATTTTTCATCAAATAGGCAGTCCCAGGTTAAGAATGCCTGACTTAAGAGCAACTCCCTATTACTAAAGATGGCAGATAGCATTCTCCTTCCTCAAGTGATGAAGCACTAAAGCCGTGTATTATTTTTAAGATCCACTGAAGCTGCATGTTTTTAATATACAGCCTGTTTTTAGTGGTTTTCAGCAGTTCCTGAAAGCAAAGCACAGCTTCAGCACTTGGCTTGAGGAAGGATAATACCACCTGCCATTTTTAGTAGTAGACAGTCCATTTGTAAGTCTGAGTTCTGACTTAAACACAAATTTGAGTTAAAGACAGGGTTAAAGAACAGAACTCATTCTTAACCTTAATTTGGGACTGTTACTATGTGTGTATAAGACATGATAATTGGGAACATCTTCAACATAACACTGATGGAGCTGTTTAAATAATTTCTATATCAGGATTGGGAACCCATTGCCCAGTTTCCTTTATCTTTCACTATTAGCCATGTTGGTAGAAGATTAATGGGAATTTTAATTCAGCAACATCTGGAGCATCACAGCTTCTTAATCTCATATTCATTTCAGAGCCTATCAACGTTGTATGTCTCTTTAAAGGCATTTATGGAGCTTCTGCTTTATGGCTGCCCGCTCAGAATATGCTATGCATTTTAAGAAAATGGCAACATCTTTATCTATCAAGCAAAAAGTATAATTGTATTTACATTACTAATATTTTAGTTACATTGCTTGATATTGAAAACACAAAGTACCAAACCAGCTGTCAAATTTTCTGTTAGATTATTTGGATTGCTGCACTGTTTTTAAGATTTGTTTTTGTTTTGTTTTTTTAAAAAATAGGGATGTGAAATTTGTTAAGTATACCACACAGCATCAAGATGATAGTATTTCTTTTGTTTTCCCTTTCTGTCTTTTTGTTCTAGAAGAATCATTAAGGCATTAGGCTCCCCCCCCCCCCACATACACATGGCAAATAAACTAAACACAGCATAACTAAAATATATATATTCAGAAAACTAATTCCTTAAAAACAACTCAAAATTCCTGGGTCAAAATGTGTCTCCCACATGTAAGGATAGAGTGAAAAATAAATACGTATCCAAATATTTTGTTGGGTTTCCAGAATCCGTATAGGATGGAATCTGACAGGTTTTTTTAAATCGTTAACAGTCAGGAATAATTACTATGCAAGCAGTCCCCAACCTTTCTGGCTCCACAGACTGGTGGCAGCGGTGGGGGGTGGTTTCGTGTGCGCAACCTAGATCCCATGCATGTGCAAATTAAGCTTCATGTGCTCACTTGCTGCTTGTGTGGCCTGGTTCCCAATAGACCACAGCCCAGAACTGGTCTGCAGATCAAGGGTTGGGGATCTCTGCATTACGATATTAAATATGTATATCCATATATACCTGTATATATAGGACAGTCTTGGATAGGCTCTAAGTATTTATCTATGTGTACATAGACACATACAGACAATTTTATTGTACAAACTATTATAAGGCACATATAAACTAAAAATATTTTAAAATTTACCAAAATCAGATGAACTTGACCGAACAAGGTTTTCTAATTTGTATATAAATTGTCTGTCAGAATTAAAAGAAAAAGATGTTACTGGAAACAAAAGCATATACACAAATACCATATTCAAATCATACATGTGTCTCTGTACATACATAATCTCTATACATACATACAGCCCACGAATATGCAAATATATTATACTGTTAAACTTCTTTTTTTAAAAAAACATTTACCTTTGCCAATCATCCATGCCAACAAGCTTGCTAGCCTAGGTAAAGCATCTCTTCAGAGAGGATGGACTCTTCAGTCTTTACTAGGGGTTTTCTTTATAAACAGCTTGAACTTCCATTAAAGTTCAATAACAAAACATTGTAATAATATACTTAGTGAACATCCTCAGAACAGAATAGCTAGAATAGAAAAGTCTACATTTTAAGAAATATGGAGCCACATAATAACCACAATATATTCCAGGAATAATAATAATAATAATAAAAATCATACCTCAATAATCCAAAGAGAAGTGTACAAGATTCAACTAAAGCAATTTCAGTAACCCATTGAAAATCAAATAATTCCACAATGTCCTTTTCATAATCAATTGGAAAGGGATCCAGTTCCAATAAAATCCTAAGAAACAAAGTTAACATTGTTTATAGTTCCTTGAGCAACATCCATAGGCATTCTTTAAGTGGGCACCCTCCAGGTGAGCGGGACTGCATCTTACAACTAATTTCAATATCCACCCAACTGGAAGGTTGCACGCATCCATTCAATTTATATTTTATTAATACATCATAGCCTTGCTCATTAGTGACCAAGGTAATGGTTATACTTCCATTGCTGTATGTGTTCGCATTCACTCCATTTTAGAAGGCCCTTTAAAACTAAATTGTGTACCATATAAAAAAAATCTAATCCAAATGTAACTACTTATTTGCTGCTTAAATTACTTCACGTACCCCATAAATGTTTAGCTTTGCAGCATTGTATAATCAACTTTCTTAACATGAAATGCATTAGAGATCTCAGGAAGTAGATCTCCAGTTCAGGAAATCTGATTTCCAGATCATGTCATATGTCCGTCCCACAGTATTTTTTTCTGGATTGGTTATGGGAGATCCCAATTCTCCAGCCTAGCACACCTGACTGCACAGTTGATAAGTATATTTGAGGCATTTTGGTTATTTTCTGTATTTTACAGTCATTCTCATTTCTTGCTAGTATATTATCACTTCTATACTTCAATAAACTAGCTTTCGGTCGTGATTCATTTTCATAAAATCAATCACAATAGCCCAACGTAAGTACACAAATATAAACAAAAGTACCCCTGTAATCCAGAAAAGCACAAACAGCAACTGGCCTACCCCTTTGAAGAAAGCATATGAGTTGGGAATGGGGAAAATGTTGTACTCTCCTCCCTTTTCCTGCTAGCAGTGTAGTCTCATGGCTTCCAGTTACTGATACGAAAAATATCTAATTGGGTACCACTACTTTGTTAGCCCCATAGAAAAGAATCGCTTAAATGAAATGCAAGATATATGACATTATCTTGGAGGGCCATATGACACTGAAGGGCCTGATGGTCAGCTAATTTGAAGAAGCAAGGGCTAAAGAAGTGAGTGAGCTCCAGCCAGCTAATTGGCAATGAACATGGGAAGGTTTAAGACCACCTCATGGACCACCACAGACCTGCTTGAGAATCACTAATATACAGGTAGTCCTAGACTTACTATCACAACTGAGTCCAATATTTCTGTTGCTAAGTGAAACATTTGTTAAGTGAATTTTGCCCCATTTTACAACTTTTCTTGCCACATTTGTTAAGAGGCTCACTGCAGTTATTAACATGGTTGTTAAATGAATCTGGCTTCCACATTGACTTTGCGTGTGAGGAGGTCTCCAAAGATGATCATGTGACCCCAGGACATGGCAACGGTCATAAATATGAGTCAGTTGCCAAGTGCCCGAATTTGGTCCATGGGGATGCTGTGACAGTCATAAGTATGAAAAAGTCATAAGTCACTTTTTCCAGTGTTGTTGTAACTTTGAACGGTCACTAAATGAACTGTTGTAAGTCGAGGACAACCTGTAAAGGCACCAGGTTAGGGAAGTCTGTCTAAGGCATGATATCTATATTCTATATTTCAATATACAGTGTTTTTGCTACAGAACTTTGTCCCTCTTATCATGGGATTCCAAAAGCAACATATATTTATTAAATGTATATGCTGCCCATCTCATTATCAAGCGACTGGCAGCATATACAGAGACCAACCATATAAATCACCTACAGGAAAACTAATTTAGGGCCTGTGTGTTATAATTCTTTGAATCACTAGTACTGACCACAGAATCAGCATTATAAATATATTATTTATTTAACATAGAGCCCAAACTAAGCAGAAGAAATCTTTTAGAGATATTCATACCATAACAGTAATATAAAAAATTATCCCCAAGATCTATTCAAACAAAAGCCGAAAACACTAATGGGATCATAGTGGCACACAGCAGCTGTTAGAAGAAGCTAATTAAACATTCCAAATTCTCAGTTCTGCACATACTCACACACCAGGGATTTTAATACTATTCCAAGTAATTATGATACTGGAACATTCTTAGTAAAATCCAGCTTGTCTAATAGTATGTTCAAAATAAAAGTCCCATGAGCAGCATTTAAGGTCTTACATACCTCTTAAGAGAACCACTTGCTAAATAAGAATCAGGAGAAAAGCTTTTTCCTTCATTTTTAAGGTCAGAGACACAGGAGAAAGAAAGAACTCTGGAGTACTGTCCTTCTATTTCCATTGCGGCCTCTAAGCTCTCAGTAAGCGAAGAAGGCACGGAGTGAATGCTGGAGTCATCATCCATTGTTCATGCTTCTCCCTGGAAAAATAAAAACATGCAGCATACATTTTTCCATGTTTGTTTTTCTGAATTATCAGAACTAAATCTTACCTATTAAAGCAGAATGTGATAGATTTCCCACAAGGACTTAGAAATATGTCAAGACGCAATAAGTTTTCAGATCAGCTGAGCATCTGAGTACATCAGAATCCCAAAACTATCAACTAAATTTATTGTGTAGGCTGAAACATATTAAATTAGCTGTAGATTAATATGTACAGTTGTTTTCCTGATGTATGGCAGTAAAATCTCATCATTCACAACCCATTATCAAGTTAGCTGAGTAATGCAGATTATAGTTCAACATATTGCATCTCGATGGCATTATGCTGGGGAAAACCAAAACTGTAGTCATAATAATTATAAGATAGATGCTGAGCTCTTACGTGTTTCCTTCTTTTCTTTTTACATAGCAATGAGACTGAAAGCATTTGTTTCCTTTTTAATTAATCAGTATAGCATCAATTCACAAAGTTTACGTATTTTGCTATGCCATTGTGCAGCTTTGTTTTTCCTTTGGGATTAGTGCGATTTTTATTCAGTTTATATCCTGACTTTCTGTCATAAATGAATAAAGTTAGAGCCCAGCTAATTTTACCTTAAATCAACTATGATTCAACAAACCAACCCTTAATACTATGTATGAACTAGATCAGCGAGTGCAACAGATGCAAGTTCTTCATAATGCCATAATTCAGTATTTATTTACATTATGTTACTGAGGTAGATATCACATTCTGGGGAGGAGCTCCTGGAATGTCTCCATTATCAAAGATTATGATAACACCTACAAAAAAGTGGGCTTCCTCAGTGGTTCCTCAAGTTGAGAAGCTCTCTCCTGGATCAGTTTTGTCAGCTTTCCACCTTACTATCTTTTGTGTCCCTAAGAGTGTCTTTCACCTTTCTCAAATTTGTTCATCACAAATTTAATCTTGCTGGTACATTTTCCTCTGTTCTTGGGATTATTACCAATTAATTTCTTATGAATTTTTAAAATGTATGGTCTATTTTTATTCTTTCTTATAAAATCCCTTGATTGACAGGAAATTTCAAATAACTTCAATAAATGCATAAATAATAGATTGTCATGTTTCTGCTTTTGTAAATTTGAACAAACTACAAAAAGCAGTAGTAATAGTCCTATAAATATTTTCAAGTAGGGATGTACATATAGAAGAAGTGGCATTATTTTTAGAGAGACAGCAATTCTAAGGGAACTTGCAAATGGAATTAAAAGACAAATCTTCCACCAGTTCCACATCATCAGTTTAAATGAAATCCCAGCATGAAAGGGATAAGGGGCAGTGGAATACCCTTGCTTTTGTTTCAAGTGTCTGTTCATATTTCTTTTCCCAATTAATTTTAATCAGAACAAAAATATTTACATAGGCTTCAAACTGATATACTCTTAACTAATGGGCCTCATTCTGGAATCTTTCCAGGCAGTGTCTCTATGATACTGAAAACCTGTGTGTGCCTTTTAACAACTAGAAATTTCAGATTCATAGATGTAGCTGCCCACCTTCACTGACACAGGATTTCAGCTCAGCTGTCAGTTCTGAACCCAAGAGCCAGACTACTATTATATGTACTAACAGTTATATTTGACAGATCACAAACCGTTTGTACCAGTGTCTCTGTACCAAAACAAATATTTGATCAGAAAAGTATATTCTTCCAGATATTTTATTAAAAATACCTTCTTAAATTAGCATTAAATTGGGTCGATTGTAAGATAATTCAAAATTCACTGCTAACAGTGAACACTTATAAGGCCTTTTATTATTTAAGAAAATGGACTGTTAGGTTAAAAATGACATCTATTTAAAAAACTTTAGTGAGTGATTTTCAGTACTACTGTGAAGCGCTCTCTAAATTTCCGGTCAGCATAGCTGTTGCAAGAACGTGTGGGTAATGAAGTTCAAAGCAAGGTAATTTTTTTCCTTGTATATATTCAGAGATTAATCTTGAGTTTCAGATAACAGATGCTATATTTTGAGCCATGATTCTATTCATCATATCTATAAAGAAGTACTCCTTACTCCATACAGCGATTTCTAGGAAATGTATTTCGGTGAATCTGATTGTTAATCTGAGCTTTTTGAAAAGTGGAAACTGCCAGAAGGCTGGACCTTCCCAAAAGATGGAGACAGCCTATTACACTTTTGTCCAACCCAATGCATATACCGATGCACAGGATCCCCACTCCCGTCATCACTAGTCATTATTCCCTCGTGTGAATCGGGAGTCACAGAACTTGTAGTCCACGACAACTGAAAGGCAAATACCTACCCACTCCGTAAAGGAACAAGCGAGCATCGGTGCTGCAATAATCGCTGCGGTGGACAAATCCCGAAACTCGCTTTAGAAGTCCGACATGCAAAACAAACGTACCTGGGACAAAAGCGCCCTTCCTCTAACCTTCGCACAGGGCAATGCGACAGCGGCGTATGCTGCAAAGCGCCGATCCTTTCGCAAACTATCGCACTTTCTTCCGCGGAATAAACTGCAGCCGCATATCCGCCGCCGCCGCTCCGTAATTCCCGCGCAGCACCGGCACTAGGTTACTGCGCGTGCTCAGAGGAAGAGGGGATTATGACGTATCACGTTCTAACTCAGGGGTAGTCAACCTTGGCTCTTTTATGACTCGTGGACTTCAACTCCCAGAATTCCTGAGCCAGCTGGCTCAGGAATTCTGGGAGTTGAAGTCCACGAGTCATAAAAGAGCCAAGGTTGACTACCCCTGTTCTAACTGGACACGGGAGCTTCCCATAGAAGCTTTTCCCCTTTTCTGGCTTCAGGGGCGTCTTCCGCCTGTGGGAGTTTCCAAGCGGAGGCGGTCGCGGGTGAAGAGTCGCGTGACCCGCTGGGTTACTTTTGAAACTGAGTGGTTTCTAGAGTTGCGCCTCCCTCCGCTGATCAGTTAATTTCCGGGGGTTCCACGAGGTTTCTGCAAAGAAGGGATTTCTCGGTTTCACACTAGAGAGAATTGCAGTCAGACGGTGTTTGGTGCGATCCCAGCCGGTTTGCTTTGTTAGTAGAAAGTGCAAGTTGGGTTAGTTCAGATCACCGTTCATTTATACGAACACGGGACTAAGTTTATCCAGCTTTACACTGTTTGCTCAAAGTGGAAATCATAGGTAGGATTAATGCTTCGGAGTATAGGCAGTCCTCGACTTACGACCACAACTGAGCCCAGAATTTATGTTGATAAGTGAGAAACTTGTTAGGTGAGCTTTGCCCCATTTTATGACTTTCCTTGCTACATGTATTAAGAGAATCACTGCAGTTATAAAATTAGTAACACGGTTGTTGAGTGAATCTGGTTTCCCCATTGACTTTGCTGGTCAGAAGATAGCAAACTATGATCACATGACCTCGGGACACGGCAACTGTCATAACTAGGAACCAGTTGTCAAGCATCTGAATGCAAATTATGTGACCATGGGAATGCTGCAACGGTCATAAGTGTGAAAAATGGTCATAAGTCAATTTTTTCAGTGCTATTGTACTTTGAACAGTCACTAAACAAACTGTTGTAAGTCGAGGACTACCTGTATGAATGCTGAGCTGACCCTAGTGTAGGTTCATGCTCTCTGTAGAAAATTATGACGTAAAAGATGCATAGCTTGGTCATGTAGTTGTACAAGTCCCTGCATTCGCTGATGGAGATGGAGTGATTGAATTCCAGATACAGTGAATGAGTTCCCAAAGCATAACAGCAGATAATGAAGTTCGTTTGCTTTTAGCTTGGCTTCATATGAGTCCAGCTGTTAATTTCAGCTGTATATTGTACCATGGTTTACAACTTTCAGTGCTGAGTGTCTGTGTTTGTACAATACACTAGGCTAAAATATGATTGAGAATCAATATGGATGTGTGAAGTCAACCAGGAAAGTTAGGTTGTGGAAACCCATGGTTTGAACCATGGCTTATTGGTGAATATAGCAAATTAGATTTATTCAGGGAGGTTGAAGCAAATGATGTACTGAGTCTTTTTTGCTTGTCTTTGCTTTATTGAACCCAAGCCTGTTTTTCTTGAGCCCTTTGACTTTTAGAATCCTAGGGTACAAAAAAAATATCTGCTGCAAACTCTGTGTGGTGTCAGGAAGGGTATCCAACTAGCAAACACTCAGCTCCATCTAGTCATCCCGATTCTACCCCGAATTAAGGGATTACAGGATCACGAAAAGGAGTTTTTGTCTTTTAGACTTAATTTTGTCTACTTCTCTTTTGCCATACCAAATGGGATTAAAACTATATCTTACTGAAAAAATATAAAAGGTATTATCCAGGTCCCATTTACTTGAGGGCTACATTGGAGCAACATTCAAGAACCAGTGATGCATTGCAGGCCCTCCAAATATCTACATGGTTTTAAAACAATACCAAACAATATTTCATAGTATTGTGTGCAATCAACAAGTAGTTGTCCTTTCAATTTTTTAAAGTAACATGTTATAGATGGGCACTGTATCCACGGGTGAGGAACAAGTAGTTCACCAGAGGTTGCAAAACTATAACTTGCAGCAGCTCTAGCCAACATAATTATTGTTGAGGCTTAGAGCTGTCATGCATTTAAATATAGAGAAGGAAAAGTTCCCCAAACCTTCATTTAATCCATACTTAATTGGTAAAAAAATTCTTCTGAGCAAGCCTGTGCATAGGAATTATTTTGCCATATGAGTATTCAGTCTCATATTTCATCTAGCTAAGTAATCTTTTTCAAGTAAGCAGTTTGCCAATATAAGCATATCAACAGATGGAAGCAGCTAGCTCTCATGAAAAACTGGTAAAAACTTATGTAAACTCTCAAGCTGCAATTAATAAGGTAGGTTGAAGACAGAGTTCCCCAACTTGGGGACCGAGATAGGAAGATTCCGCACGAATGGCGGGCAAACTCAAGGCCCGGTAGTGGGCCACAGCCCGGGGGTTGGAGACTCCTGGTTAAGAGATTGCATTCATGCACT